GATATACCCACCCTGGTTCTCGTCATCAGATGGGGTTTCTTCTTCATTTTCTTCGGCTAAACTGCCTTCAAGAGGTTCTAGCATAGCTGCGATTCGTTTCTTTGGAGCTTTTTTGAAATTACTAATTGTGACTAAGTCTGCAGCCCTGACCACACGCAGTGAACTGCCTTTGTTATAAGCTCTGGTCAGAGCAGATTTTACTGCCGGTTGTATGCCGTCCAACGGATTTGGATGCCCCTAAAGCATTGTAAGAAGAAGCAAATCAGAATAAAATAAAAAAAAAAAAACGAGACTTCGATCACAACAGTAAAATGTCAAATGCACCTTAAATTTCGACATCTCGACGATTGTATCATAGTCCTCCATGCTAATGGAGTATGAGTCCATGAACTTCACAACAGTCTCAACAGCTTCATCCTATCAAATTTATTCCAAGAAAAAGAAAAGATAGGAAAGTTCAGAAAAAAGAACACAAATCGAACTTAGGGAGGCTGATATCAACATGGAATATTATAAAAACCAACCTTGGGTAGCACCCTTAAAGGATCGGTCAACCGTTTAAGAAGAAGAGTAAGGCAGTCGAGTCGAATTGTCGACCTTCCTAAATCAGATTCACGAGAAGTAAGAAGATGAACATGCAGATCCTCCAACAGTCTGTAGTTCTTGCCCATAGTAGAGTTCTTTCCGAGCCAGCCACCAAATCTATTGAAATTGCGTTCCCCCTGCAAAGTTCAAACAATTTCCAATAAAAACCGTGCAACTTTAGTTAGCTAAGAAAGTTTGAGCTATGCAAGCAGAAGGTGTGAAATAAGATAATGTACAAAAGAGAACCACGTATCAAAAGCCAGAGGCTATCTCTAACTCCTCAATGCTAATCACTACATGATTATTTCCAAGCTATTTCATCCACTGTAACTAATCTATTTTCTTAGTAGTGGTTGAATGAATACCATCAGTTAGTTAAACCACAAAAAGGAACAAGAACAGAATAAACACTGTAGTGTAATATGCAACGGGCATAAATAATGTAATAGTATCACAAATCACCTGCTCAAGTATTTCCCGTGACCCATGCAACAAAGCCGCACTGAGTTAAAAAAAAAATCAAAAAAACGGGGTTAACAATCAGCATCGTCAGTAAGTAAAATAACCAGTTCCAGAACTGAATCTAGAGAACTTACGGAATTATGCAAGACGTAAGAGAACCAAACTGAGAGAGCTGCCACTGCCGGTATCTTCGAATCTGGACATTGATAATATCACCATCCCCAATTGACTCAGCAGCCCGAGCAATTAAGTTCATCCTTTTCATTCCATTATCATCTTTACCAGCTGAACTTGGTCTATAATTAATGTAGTTTTCCTGAAATCAAGGGTGAAGTAACCTAAGATGTTAAAATGCATACAGTGACATCGCATGAACTTGATGCATCTGACACACACACACACTATTACTAATATATTATATGGCAGAAATTCTCATCCTCGTCATTCTTCCACAGTATTTAACCAATTGCTCACTAATGTTGGTACAAGCAATACCTGTATAAGAAGAGGAACAAGATCAGGATCACTCATGCTGAGGTCGATTCTCTCATCCATTCTCAACTTTCCAGCATTAAAGCCAAATAGTCTGTAACAAGAAGATATGACTATGTTAACTAGCAGTTTCAAATGAGAAACTTACATATCAAGAGAACCACCTCAAATTAACAAATGACTTGATAAAATTAGTATATCAAAAACATTTTTTTTGATATACACACTCGTAAAGCAAAAAACAAACTCCCAGCTGGGGGCCCTAAAATTAGCATGTAAGAGTTACAGTCTCCAACAAGTACAAGACCAAAAATATGGACATAAAATAAAACCTGAACAAAAGAGCTACATACAGATGACAATAGTATTGACAAAAATATACAAACATCTGAAGGTATCATACTTGTCAACAGCTGTGAAGGGGGAAATATCTTCATCCTTTGAACTGCTTTGAAGGCGTTGTTTAATGTCATCAAATTTAATTACTGACATCGAGAGACTCATATACTGCAGTTGGTTGATGGCCATACGAATATCTCCATTAGATCTTTCTGCGAGTTCCTCAAGTGCAATCTATGATAAGAAAGCACCATAGTGATCAGTATATGCATAGAAATACAATGAAAATGTGGCAAATAGTCATTCTATTTATATTCCAAGATGGAAAAGATTAAGAAAGAAAAATCAAAAGATGTACGAATAACACTGAAGTAGATTATTTACGAAGCCAAAAAAATTATTCATAGAAAAGTTATGGTCCCAAAAAAAAATCCTGAAAGCGGAAGTACCTCGTTTACTTGAATGCCTTCGGCTTTTGCGATATGTGATAACCTTTTAGCCATCTGTCATTTACCATGGAGATATCAAGTTAAAGATTTAACTAAAAATAATAACCATCATGCTTAATATGCAACAACAGAGTTAAACAAAAATAGCAATTCAAGAGCACTTACCTCATTTCCATGTCAACCAAAAAGTTCACATATCAAGGGTTGAAGCAAATTACCAACAGACAAAGTTCAAATTACACCTAAGTTTTAGTAAAGACGAAAATTGACAACTTCACTAGAAACTAGAGACCTGGAGACGTAATTTTAACTGATTCATTGAGTTGAACGACATAATATTTAAGATGAGGATAGTAAAATAGCATGAAACTAATGATAACCATCAGACGCGTTTTCAAATTGTCTGGATCCGAAGATAAAATGTTGAGTTCTCCAGGCTACAGAACACATTCAAGACTCAGGCATATGGAAATCTGAAAGTGCAATGGATAGACACTCTGGTGTATCCTCTCTTACTAGAAAAAATGGTGTTCTATATAGTTATCTCCCTCACAAAAAAAAATATATTACTGAAGGCAGAGATGTGAACACATTTTTCCATATTACTCAATATGCATAATCACGTTCATAGCTGTAAATGAATTGTCACTGTACTACCAGATTTCATCAATTTAATACTCCCCTCAGTTCAGGAAAGCTAACCACAAATTCATTCTCAAAGTTACATTAACATCTATAATTAGACTCTCAATTAAAATGTAAGGGAACTCTCACAACTCAAAGATAACTTTTAATTGAAGCATATATACATATCAAAATCTTCAATAATTGTATCACACCGAGCCTCAACACCATAATGCAGGCACATACGAATATGAAGCATTTCTACTCTTGAATTTGCAGATCATATCTAGAACAAAAAATCAGAACGGACCTGCTGCTTTGTTGGCTTTCGGAAGCTAAGAAGTAGGCAGTAGTTCATAAGGCTCTTAAGTTTCTGACTGTAGCGATCATTACAGATGCATATTATAGGAACTTTTGAGATTTTTATGCTGGCAATAAGATCAGCCACTCCACCTCTGTCTCCAGCAGACATACCATCAACCTCATCCATAATAAGAACAGTCTTCTGTTGTTGAGTGCTGCAACATTAGTCAAAAAAAAATACATGAATACATTACTGAGTTACTATCTAATGCAAAGGAAAGAGTCAATTCCAACCGTTCCATTTTATGACTCAGGGATTCATTGCTAACAAGTTCTTTGACAGAATTAGAAGTGCTCCCACCAATTCCTTTCTGAATTTGAGCATCAGCCTGTCCACGGCTATCAATAGCATTAACCTAGACAAAAAGAAGGTAACTCTTAGATCAGGAATGGTAAAACATATATAATTTCATAGGAGGGGGTGGAGGGCGGTAAATATAAAGCCTTACCTCAATAGCTTGAAACCCAAGCATCTGTCTAATCAACTTTGCTGAAGTGGTCTTCCCAATGCCAGGTGTCCCACTCAACAGCACAGCTTTCTTAGGACCGGAATCACTCTGCTTCTTTCCCTTTTCTTTTTTTCCTGTGTTAAGGAATTGTTCATTCCAACTTACTAGCCAATCATGGAGCTGTTTCACCTGCACTCAGCCTCATACTGTCACTAAAGCATTTACATGAATCTCCGTAAAGTTAAATTCCCAAAAGGATATTCTGAACACATACCAATGACTGATTCCCAACAATATCATTTGGAACCTTTGGCCTATATTTTTCAGTCCATGGCAGCGAAGTTTGTGCAGCAGGCTGATTTTTTCGCTTGGGAGAAGCTGCAACAGAGACTGGTCCTTTTGTATCTGAGCCAGCTTGTTCTAGAAAAGAAATGGAGTCAGCCAGTAAACCATAATTTGAAAATACAATGAAAAGCAGAATAAACTAAGGTTGCATTCGGATAGGGTGATTTGAGGGAAGGATTTCAAATCACCATAAGAACAAATTCGTTGAACTTGCTTGGATTAACTACTTTGATAATGTATTTTAACCTCGTAAGGCCTTGATATATAATTTAAACGCCAATGTCAGCTATGTGAAAAGACCAGACTATGGTTCATTGAAACATACTAGTTTTTTCCGACTTTTGAGGGCTCTTCTTAGGAACGGGTGTTGCAACCTTATCCACCCGCTTATTTGGAACTTGTGCAGCAGGTTTTGATTTATTTGATGCACGAATGATATCAAACAGACCATCCTCTGTAAGGAAAGCAGTACTGCAAAGGAGATAAGAGAGAAATATTAACAACAAAAGACCAAAAAAAGAATGCTCTAAGTACCACCAAAAACGACATAAAGATGAACATGAAGAACTTGCCCAAGCTCCTTTGCCTTCTCAGACTTCCTTCCACCAATATCTTCATCACATAGAAGATAATTCTGCAAGAAACTGTGTCAGCTATAAACTGATAAAATAACCCAAGGATATAGCAGTATTAAGATATATGAATCAACAAAATAGTCACCGTCTTTTTGCTGATGGATCCTGTAACACGTCCACCATGGCGTTTGATCAAATCTTCAGCTTCTTCTCTTTCTAAACTGAAAGAACAGAACAAAGAAATGACAACCCTAAACTGAATCAACGAAGAGGTAAAGCAAACAAAGATAGGAAGACACCACATCACCATATAATTAGAATATACTATTCAGATATACATCCAACATATGCTTATAGAACTGTATGAGCTAATGCAGTAAAAAGAGTATATGCAATTAAAATACAAACATCTGAGCACTATTCAGTATCTATACAAACCCACATGAGATAGAAGGATCACCTGTCAAGTGTTCCACTAATCACAAAAGTCAAACCATCTAAGCAATTAGCAGCACCTTCAGGAACTTCCTGCCACCGAAAAATGAATAATTATCAACATGTGGAACTTCATAGAAGGATTTAAAATTCCGTAATGTTCTTACCTTTTCTCCTTTGTGAGGAGGATCTTTCCTCTCACCAAAGTTCATGAATCCACCCCTCCCTCCACCACCTCTGCCTCTCCCACCAGCTGCCGCCCCTGCCCCTCTTCCACCACGGCCTCTTCCGGCAGGTTTCATCGATTCAGCATCCTTATTATCCACATCCTCTGCATCAACTTCAT